CGGCGCCCCAGGGTTACGGGGCGGCAGGATCCCAGGCTCCCTAAACCAGTTTGCAGTCAGTCGCCTTCTCCAGAATTCCTTCAGTTGCACGGCGGAGGAATTCCTGGAGGAAAAGTGGCTCAGAGGCGGCTTTCGACCACATAAGCAGTGGTAAAAATGAACCCATCACTACTTATTGACGATGAACGTCACCCCCTGGAGAATGGATGCTGTTTATGGGGGACGTGAAATGAAGAACAAGTGCACAGGGAAAAAATGCCAGCAGACCTCTAACTTGGCGAAGCTAACTTAGCTCTCAGTCTCAGAACCCCCCATCTTCTAACTCCCAAATTACAAAGCGAGACACTAGGTTTATTGGGGAAGGGGAGGCACCGTGGAACGTGAGGGGTACTTGGTTATTATTATCTTTTTTTAATTGGGCTGATGAGGGATAGATAGCTAGACATTTTTATAGTGATGGGGGGAGGCACATTTGAAATTTCATTGAAAAAAGTGTGAAGGACGATTTTAATAAAAAAAGTTTTTATACTTAAAAGGTTGGGCAATACAGGTCAAAGTAAAAGTGGAAGGAATTTTCAAAGCATGCTTAGTAGGTGTGAATATTGCAGGTAAGTTTTTATGATGAGGAGGATGCCTGACAGTGTCTGATCACCTAGATAGATCCTCGGGGAACTTGGCAGCAGGGCATCCTTCCCGGAAGAGCCCTCTTAGGGTGATTTCCTAGGAATCTGGCACCTTTGGCATTGCTCTGCTGGAGGCTGAAGGACTGCTCTGCACGGGGTAAAAAACAAAAAGAAAAACACCCCCAAACCAGCCAACCCATCAAACAACAACCAAGGTTGGTCTAGCTTGACCTAGGAGGATAGTTTTTGAAAATTGCTAAAGGTGGCAGATATGCCCTATCTTAAGGTCTGAGTACTAAATTCTGTCAACTTGGTGCAGGACTTGTGAACCCCAGGAGAGATGCTGCTTGTGGATTCAGGACTAAACCTCATTCTCACCAGGCTGGTGACATCACCTGGGGTGTTACTTTCGAGTAACAGCTTGGGGTGTTTTGTGTTCCCAAACCAGGTAGGGACCACCTCCTCACTTCACAAAGGAGGAAACGGAAAGTCAGATCACAACCAAGTTCACTGTCTTTTGTCTTTTTTTTTTTTTTGAAGACATTTTTAAGAACATTTGGCCTAGAATAGACATTTACTAAGTTAAGAAATGGCTGAGGTGATTAAAACTAATAATATTCGAGATGACCGAAGTAATCCACAGTCAGTGTAAAAGCAAGATTGGAAATAGAAGAATAAAGGAATAATAATAATAAAAAACCCTAAAAGAGTTTCTAATCCTGATCACCCAGAAATAGCTGTTGGAATTTATCTTTTGAAGAACACTTTTTAAGGATGACTTTGGTCTTTCTACTTCTTTTTGGAAGTCAGTGGAAGGTGTCTATCGATCGAACATTCCAGGTTTGCTGGCCTAGGGATGCTCTAAGGCAGTGCCTCTCCTTTTTGGGGTGCTGCTAGGTTAATAAGAAGAGGCAGGTCTTCAGAAGGGCAGCTCTGGCATCGCCCACAGGGTTGGGACTCCAGATAAACAGCTTGTGAGATTGCCTCGTGGAAGGCTGCCTTCAGGACGGTACCAACAGTAATCATTAATTCTCACAATGCCACATTCTCCAGTGACAGCCTCGTCACTTTTATACTTAGGAAAAAAGAAATGCAGAAAGAATGAGCAATCTGACCAAACTCTCTCTTCTTTCCACAAACACAAAAGGGGAGATTCAGAATATGTGACTTGTATAACATAAAACCAGTCCTCCCACCCCCTACTTTGAATATCTCTTCCCCCACCCCTCAGAAAGTCAGCCACTGAGTCGATCGTGGACAGATAACAGCAGTGATTAATGTGGGAAGAAA